TATATATATATCTCAATTTATTCATAAATATGTTAAAGACATTATTGCTTTATTTTTTTACCTCCACGCATGTACGGAGGATTAAAAACACTACAGAGGATGGGCATTTGAAGTAAAAATACTGTTTGGCATTCACTGGGAAGTATTTGGTTGTTACCACCCGGCCTTTGAGGCATAGCATAAAATGGAGGGTGACAACAAAATAAATGTCCCTGTAAAGCCAAGTTAGGAGTATATTCATGGCAGAGAAATACTGCTGGCTGCATGAAGCCGGAACTGTTACTTTGAAACCAGCTAAGCCCCAAGATATGATCCTTCACGTGGGAATCCATCCACTGGCTGTTAGAGGCAGCAAGCTACAAGGGGAAGGTCATTATCTTAATAATCTGGTCATATTTTGGAAAAGCTAAACATTGTGTGCTTACAGTGTTTTGTTTTTTTGCAGTGGGAGATGTGTTTCTTTTTTTGTTGTTGAACAAATATGTAAATAAATATGTGATCAATAATGGCCTGAAATAACCTTCCTTCGTTCTGTGTTTCCTTGCTCTTGCAGGGCAGCCCCGTTCAGTTTTGGGGACAGGTCATGGAGCTCTAAGCTAGCACTCTCCATCCATCTCCATCTGCTGCCAGAAGCGCCTCTTCCAGCCTGCTGCTGTGGTTTGGCTCCGACTCCTCTAAGAGAAGAAGAGGGAGGAGTAAACTTCCCCCAGCTGCTGTGCAGACACACACATGCTGCATTGCTGCCATTCCCCAAGCCCTACTCCATCTATCCCGGGGGCACAGCCATTAGCTTGCTAGCAGGCTAGCACTTGGCACAGAAAGGCGGCCTGTCCTGAGGGACCAAACACAAGCAGACTGTACTGTGGCCTCCTCCTTTTGTCCTCACTTTTCAGGTCATACCCACCAAGTGGAACTCCTTTTGTCCAGCTGTCACTCCCGCTGCTCTGAGCAGTGGAGGATTGCTAGCGATCAGTCAATCAAACAGCCGGGCAGACTGAGGAAGCCAGAGGGCGTGTTTACCAGACAGCAGAATGATGGAGCCTAGCATGGAAAACTGTCTGGCCCTGGTCCTGCAGAAGGACATGGGCCGAAGGCTGCAGGTTGGCCAGGAGATCATTGATTACATTCTGGACAAGGAAAAGTCCCATGACTTGGAGCAGGACCAGACAGCGCTGGACAAGATGGTCGATGGCATCGCCAGCTCCTGGGTCAACTCCAGCAACTTCAAGGTAAACTAGACTGATGTTTCAGGATGTGTCTGATGTGTCTTCCAGACACCCCTCAGAGGATCAAGTAGCTTTGTAATTCCTCACAGGTGGCGTGGTTTATTGGTGTAGTAGTGGTTAGTGTTACGGCCCTAGCAAGAAGCCTGTCTGCTTGTTCTTCATGCATGTCTGTAGATTTTCTTGCTGGGTTTCCTGCTTCTGTCTGAAGATACTTATGTGTAGATAATGGGAGATTCTCAGTTGGCTGTAGGTGTGGATATAAGTGCAAGAGGTCTTCCTTTTTTCTTTTTTAGCCCAAGATGGAAAATCTGCGAAGAGTGTGGATAGATGGATGGAATGAATTAATTCCCATTCGTTTTTTGTTTCAAGACCTTTTCACACTTAAAAGTCCAACCAGAATATAGGGTAATATATTTGTTTTTAATTCCTCTAAATCATTCTCATCTTTGTTGTTTATTTCACTTTAAATAGGAGCAGAAATTCTAAAAAATGAGCTCCATGTTTTATTCAGTAAGTCATGAAACCAAGAAGAGAGACCATGATCTCTCCAGCCAAGTGTTTACTGAGCTCAGAGATCAGGTGTGCTGAAGATGAGAAGTTTTCTCATATATTTCAATACAATAAGAATTTTATTTTCATTTTCACCCCCTGTTGGTCATTAGAAAGAGAGAAGATTTGATTTAAATTTTTACCTTTCGAGAGGCAGAAGCTACATCCCTCTTTAATAAGCAGTCTGTGGGATTAAAGTGAAAAGTGTGAGGACCTGTGAACGTGCCTGCAGACAGACGTTTATCACAGCACTCATGTTTCTCTGCAAAAGAGCTTTTTTCCCCACAATTAACAGCCCATTTTCCACCCACTCAAACGCTCCTCTTAGAGCCTGTTGTGTTTAACAGCGTGCTCAAGGTGTTTTTATTAGGAAATGTCTGCCATAGCTCACAATCAAAGCTGCTCATGTTTGAGATGAAGCAACTTTATGGTTTTATGTAAAAGCTGAGTCATGTAGGGCCGAATGATAACAGTTTACCTTCCATGAATAACAGATTCCAATCAAAACTATTCCTTTTGTGTAGGAGGTGCACTTCCTTGTTATTGTGAACTCATAGAATGAGCTTTTGTAGTTTGTTTGAGCAGGAATTTTCAGTATTCATCACTGCAGCGCTGCAAGGCAAACTGTTCCTCAGACTAGCATTATTGTTTCCCTTGCCCTGTAGTTGGATGGCATTCTTCTCTGATTGATTGGACTTTATTCTGGGAGTTCAATCCAGGGCACAGTTTTATCTGACCTGAAAAGCGATTCCATCAGCAGCTCATTCCGTGCCCAAACACTGATTGCTTTTCTCTGCCGTGGCTGTAAGAAGACATTGTTTACCAAAGCTCGGGTTTCACGTTGCGATATGCTGCTTTGGCTCTCTGCAGGCCTGAAAATGTCAGAGATATGTGCCTGAACAAAGCCAAGCCTGCCCTCGATGCCCTACATACTGCAGCTCTGCGAGGATGGGGAAGGACTTCACTTGTATTGCTTTTTCTGCAGTCTCATTGGTCCAGCGGAGCCTGATGGTGGTTTTTGTGTGCTTCAAATGACCACATCTGGCACTGCGATGGTTGTGCTGGGAGATGTCTGGTGCATGCCTGAGAGAAAGAGTTTGCAGTTTGGGGTTAGGAGTGTTTAATTCGCTGGTTGTAGCTCAGATGGAGGGGCAGATATGAGGAGGCTGCTGCCAAACTACATTTTTTTGTCCTGTCATGGGTCCAATTTCAGTGTTTCTCATTGCATACTCTGTACTTGAGCAAGCTGCACATGTATTGTGTGATTTGTTTTCATTTTGTCATTAACATTTTACTATTATTTGCACTTGGTTCAAGTTGCTTTTATTGAAAGATGTGCTGAAGGGCAAAATAAGACTCGCAAAACCAAAAGTCAGCACAGTAATGGTTTTTATCTCAATTATCTTGTTTTAATAATTACAGACACCCAAAATTATAACTGAAGTTAAAAGCTGGTTAATTGCACAGCCCTGATTGAGTGTCTCATACTGACTTTTGGTCCATGTTGGGCTGCAGCTGGTGATGGTGGTGCTAGTTCTATTCTGGAAATCCTCTGTTAGCTGGAGGATAACTCTATCCAGAGACTGCAGCAGGTGGAGAACCAGGACTACCAGCTGCAGAGCAACATGGAGGAGATGGAGTCTGTTTGAGGGAGGCGTAGCTCTGTTATTTATTGTCACAAAGCATATAGAGTAGATGTGCTGTGGCCACATTCAGAATCTAATTCTGCAGTAAACACTGTGAAACTCCTCAGGAGGCACATAACTTTGCCTGAGAAGTGTATTATGGATAACATTTAGGTGCTGACTTCCAATTGAACTGCACACAGTTCAGGTAGCTGCCTCACATTTAGCAGAGGGAAATGGTTTTCTTGTGTTAATCAGCCACGTTAACTGCTGATACATCATATCCCCTGCAGGGGAATAGAAGCTGTATATTAACTTCAAAGTGAAGTGTCATTCAGCTACATCCTCTCTGCTAATCGCCTGTCCCGTCTTTGATGATGTCAGCTGGTGGGTTTTCACTTCAGACACAAACAAAAGCAGACGACTTTTCTGTCCAGTCTCGTTTCTATGCATTTGTTTGTGTCTTTGTAAAACTGTGATTTAGTTTCAACTAAAGGCTGAAAGCCTGAAGCATCTTCACCACAAAACACCCACCTGTGTTTGCTTTATGCTGAGGAAGAACTAATAGGAGCTTCTATACGAGGACATAAAGGCAGATCCTGCTCTCAGAAACTGACAAAACACAAGCTTAGACACATTTCACCAACACTTAAAGCTAAGCTGACTGAAACCCCAGAGCAGGGGAGGCAGGGGAGCCATGTGATGGTGCAGACACAACATAAATGGCTGTATCCGTGGATCATCTAAACCACAAGGGAATTTACTTTGGGGAAAAGGAACAAAGTAAATTTTCTGCTTATTTTTTGTACTTACACAAACTTGAGAAATGGCAAAAATGAGAAAAACGTAAAAAATTTCATTGGTGCCTCGCTGCCGGCCGTAAGACAAAGCTGCACAAGAGCTGATCCTGCAAAAGTGTCTCCTGCACGGTTGAGCAGCATCACAGGTGACACCAGGCTGTCGGAGCGATGACTTCGAGCCTCATCAACCCAGAAACCGTCACTGCCGTCAGCGTCAGTCCCACTCCCACCTCTGCATGGCAGAACGGAGAGCGAGGCACAGGAACGGAGGCATGATGGACGGTTACAAACAGGACACCAGCTCGTCTCCTTGAAGCAGGAAGTGTGAAAAAGGGATGGTGGGTGGAGGCTGTAGCGCAAATCCCATCCTTATTTATGGTTTGTTTTCCCCACAGTTTTATGTTTCTGCTTGTGGCACAAAATCCATCAACAGTAAAAGTGCAGAAAATTCATCCTAATGCACAACCTAGACAGGCGCTCCGTAGGTGGACTTGAATTCATAAATGACATTAATTTGCCTCTTTTTTTATTATAATTTACTAATTTGGTTTTCATCGGAATTCTATTCAAAAATGATTGCAGTCCCCTGAAAAAATATCTTTGAAGCATGATAGCTGCTTGAAGTTTTCCAAAAATCATGGTTTTTGTTTAGATTTTTGTTTTTGATATTGTTTTTGTTTTGTTTTGCTTTGTTTTTGTTTTTTTAAGAGCCAGGTGCACTTCCTTTATCGCACAAGGCAGTGGAAACGAAAACAAACACACCGTAAATGTGAAAGAAATAAACTGACGTGCTGATTGATCACAGGGGAACTCTGAGGATTAGTCTGAATCTTCAGGTGACGGTGACACAGCCACCACATTAAGCATAAATCTATCCGGAGCATGAGGACAGGCCTCCTTGTGATGTCATATCTCTGCCTCCACGCTTCTGTTGAGATGATTCAGCAGCTGAAACCACAGCTGGAAGGATCCTGTTGACCTGGCACACCCGGACACAAAGAAAAGACACACACACGCACACAAGTAGGAGATTTTCTTCAGAAGGTGTCTGTCATCTGCCAGCATGACTGTTCTTGTTTGAAATTGCAAGTGCATGAATCACAAAGTCACTCAAAGAGTCAGAAAGGCCTGATGTTCATGCATCCTGCACATCACAGTCTGTTATATCCAACAAGAATATACTGGATAGGCTGTCAGATAAGATATGATAAATACTGTACAGGCTGAAAGTCCCCCCGTGAGATTAGGATAAGGAGCGCACACTAGTCCTCTGTCTGTGAACTTGTTCGAGTCTTTTGTTTGGTTTGAAAAACAGAGCAGAGTTGCTTTAGAAACAGTTTAATTTTGCTCTAAGAATATTTGTTGAGCCGCCTCGTGCTGTATGCTGTTGGTGACTTTAGCACAGACAGAGAGAGACACTCAACTATAAATCTCTGGGAGAATTCAGCTGCAGCAAAGATGATGGAAAAAGTGAAACTTGCAGGACCAAAAAAGCTGTTTAAAATCTTGTGTTTTGTGCAAATACAGGAAACTTTTAAAGAAGAATTTATTCGATTGCCTGATGATTCTGAGCATGCATCGAGCCGATGGGGATCCCTAGCCTTAAGTTACTTTTTGCTAAATGTGTGCAGTATATTGAAATTAAGGCGTTTTGAAACCAGGGAAAACCAGCTTTGGCCCAGCTAGACCTTTAATCATAATGTTGATGATCACGCAAGCTGAAAATTCAGCACTTCCTTTGTGTTTCCAGTAATGCATTTTGGTCTTCTGATGATTTACCTGTTTGTCTGAAGAGTCTCTTTCAACACTTTTGCTTTTCAAATTAAGGTGTTTCCAAATAATGATGAGCCATAATAAGAATTCAGGATCAAAATTCAGTCTGAAAATTAAGATTAATTATAACTAAACCGCAAAACTTGAGAGATAAGTTGTTAATGTAAAAATCTGTTCAAAGGACTGTATCAGACTGTATCACATGCAGAGTCATGTGATTCAGCCTCAACGTGCATCTTATCCTGACAGTTAATCC